ATTTTTTTTTTTATAAAATATTTTTTATTTATTTTTTTATTTTATTTTTTTTTGAATAATAGTGACACCTTTCCTATTTTATATATATTGCATAATCTGGGATTTTATTTTTTTCCATTGCCTTGAGTCATTAAATTTGAAATAGAAATTAATTATTTAAATAAAAAAAAAATCACATTATTTTAGTGTATTTTTAATTTTTTGGTTTACAATTTGAGATTTTATTTTTTCGACGGTCGAATCAAAAACATTTTGAACCTAAATAAAGAAATTTTAAAAAAATTAATAAATTAATAGAATAAAATAAAAAAAATAAAATAAAAAGACAATATTCACCTCATTATATTTTGATTTATTTATTGTTGAATGTAATAAATTTGATTTGATATCTGTAATTTCCTGTTCGATTTCATTTAAACTATTTGATTTTGTGTCTAACTTTTCATTCATTGATTTTAATAGTTGATTTGCTTTGTGGATTTTATTTTCTATTTGATACTGTTTGACCGTATTATTTAATTGATCCCTATAATATTCAATACTACCTCCTTGGCTATAATAAAGTGATTGAAGTAGTTTATCTTTGTCATATTGGCTCAAACATGAGTTTTGAATTTCTTTTAAAAACTTTTCTATTTCACAACTTTTAAATTCCTCTTCTGATGATATATTATTATTTTTTTTATTCATTAAAGTTTCTTTTATTAATCCCTCAATATTATTATCCATTTCTTTTTTTTTTTTTAATTTAAACTGAAAATATATATAGTTTTTTTATTGTAATTCTAATTTAATAAATAATGTTGTGAATAAATGAATTTTTTTTTTTTTGAATAAATAACATTTTTTTTATTATTATTATTATTATTATTTTATTACTAAAATTAAAATTTATTATTATAATAAAAATAAATATTTAGTATTAATTAGGTTTATCATTGCATTTTTTTTTTAATGTATTAATGTGCATTTATGTGTGGTTGTGTTTTTTTATAAAGATTAATATAATTTAGTTCTCTTTATCCTTTTTCATTGTAAATTTTTTTTTAAAAAATATTAATATTAAACACAAGCATATTATTTTATTAATTTATAAATTTATCGATCCCAACCCTATTTTTATAAAATTAATTTAATTTTTTTTTTTAAAAAAAATGTTATCTTTATCTAATAATTTTTTTTTTTTTTTAATTAAATTTTTTTTTTTTGGTATTAAATAAATTAATAAGTTGAATAATAAATATAATATATTATACAGTTAAACAAACGATTTTTTTTTAAAAAAAAAGGGTTAGAATTTTATTTATTTGATCATTTCTTAACCTTTTTTAAATTTTAAACTTTTTTTTTTATTTATAATTTTTTTTTTTCATCAAAAGGTCAATGTCATATAAAAAAATGATGATGCATTCTCATATATAAAAAAAAAATGAAAAAAAAAAAAAATGAATTTTTTTAAAAAATTTTAAAATTTTTTTTTTTTTTTTTTTATTATTGTTTAAAAAAAAAAAGAAAAAATTTTTGTGTGTTTAAATTAAATTTTTTTTTTTTTATTTTCTACATAAAGTTATTTTTATTTTCAATTTATAAATATAATATTACATCAAAATGGCCAAAAAACAAGTCAAAAAAAACACAAAGCCAATGGCTTTTGAAATTAATGACCAACCATTATTAGATACCTCAAATTTAGATACATCAGTCGCTGCAACCAACAATAAAAAAGAAAAGAAAGTTACCAGCACTACCACTACCACTGCTGAAACTAAAGAACAACCAAAGAGCGAAAAACCAGTTGAAAATAAAAATAATAACAATAGTAATAATACACCAGTAGTTCCAACTACCATTTCTGCTTCATCAAGTGTTGTTGTTGCACCATCAATTGAAGCCCCAATTACTGACGATTTTTCAGTTGTTCCAGAAAAGAATAAAAATAAAAAGAAAGTTACACCACCAGCCGAAAATAAACAAAGCGCTGCAGCTGCCGCCGCCAAAAAGAAGACTGGTGTCACACGTAATCAATTCCATCTCTTAGACCTCGATGAAGATGATATCATCACTGATGATACCCACAGTCACCATTATGAAGTTCAAAATCAACAACAAACTAAAAAGAAAACAAAGAAATCATCATCAACTACTCAAACTGCTTCATCTAAAAAATCAAAATCAGAAACCAAAGCTCCAGCTGTTGCCACTAAAAAAGAAGAAAAGAAAGCTGCTGAACCAGAAAGAAAAGTTGAACAACCAAAAGCTGTCGCTGCTGAACAACCAAAACCAAAGAAACAACAATCATCACAAAACAACAAAAAATCAGAAGGTGTCTTATTTGAACTCATGAACTCACTTATTACTCCAGGTGTCCCAACTGTTGTTTACAAAGTCATTTATTTCGCTCTTGTCGGTGTTTTATTATTTTCATTACTCCCATTATACTATTCAGGACTTAATACCATGTACATGGTCGGTGTTGTTGGTTTAGTTTTAGGTCTTGCTGTCACTTTAACTTTGTAAGTAATCTTAAAAATAATATATATAGAAATAATTCAATTAATATTAATAATAATATTTCATTTTTTCATTATTAGATTCATTCAAGAATTCTCAAGAGTTAAAGAATTAAAAGAATCAAAAGGTAAAAAGACTACCTCACGTAAATTAAAATAAACAAATAATTTATAATATATAAAATAAAAATATAAAAAAATATTAAAAAAAATATAAAAATAATATTTTATAAAATGTGTATTTCAAAATTGAAATAGGGTTCGTTTTTTTTATTTTTACTTTCAAATTTTCAACAATGATCAAAGCAAATAGTTTTGTTTATCTAAATTCTTAATATTGTTTTTTTTTAGAAATTTTATTTTTTTATTTTTTTTTTTAATTAATTTTAATTAATTTTTTTTTTTTATTTTTTAATTTTTTAAATTTTTTAATATTGAGTTTATTTTCAATTTTTCACAAAAAAAAAAACAAAACAAAAAATGATACCAAATTTAAAAGTTAAGATAAATAATAAATTTGATACATCTCTATATTTTGCTCAAAAGAATTTCGAAGATTTAAAATATGTAGATTTAAAAAAAAGACCACCAATAGCTTACCATTACCTATATTACGATGTTCAAACACATACCACTTACAGTTCAAATCTAACCGAATCAAATAGAACCGAAGTTATAGGTAAAGTTTTATTATATAAAGGTTTACAATATACGCACGAAGCTGAATGGGAGATGTAAGTATTTAAAAAAGGCTTTTGTTTATAAACTATAATAGATAACTAATAAATATAATTATATCTCAATAGGGTTTATCTTAATCAAGGCCACTCTCATAATTCAATTATTGGATGGTCGTGGGAGTTTGATAAAACTTTTGGTATTTCAAATTTAATTTTTGACTTGTGCTTCTTTACATTTCATATAGACACTGTTAATTGGTATGTCTGCAAAGAAGTAATTAAAGATAATAACATCAGTGAGGAATATTTAAAAAAAAATGCCCTTTTGCTGCCACTGGGAACTGTTAACAAATTGGTGGTTTTTGATAAAAAAATAGATATTACAGAGTATATCAAAGGTTCAAGTTCATTTTGCTTAGTTTGCTTCATCCCAAGAAATACCTCAACTCAGTTATTCCGTAGCAAGTCATTAGAGTATGTGGATAGGCCTCCATTTAATACAAATCCAAATGACTATCAACACCAATACAAATATCCATTTGGCGTTTATATTGAATTATCACCCATTGGTAGAAAAGAAGATGACAACCAAAAGAAACAAAATATTAATAACAATTATCACTATTATTTCATTGAATCATATCCAGGTTTAAAATCACCAATAGAATCAGAGTCATGGGGTGTTGATAGGTTGCAATGCTGGTTATCAGATAGATTATTCTTTGAATTTATGGATTACTTTAGAAGGAATGGCATTGATGGAAAGAAGGTTTTTTCATTAGATATAGACACAGAATTTAAATCATCTGGTATATCAAGGGATAGAATAGCAAAGTTAAAAAAGCAATTAATAAAGTTAAAGTCATTTGGTGCAAAAAAAGAAACATTGTATACTGTCGACAAAAAGATGATTACCTCAAATACAATATTAACTTTAAAAAAGAAACTAACCAAGGAAGAAGATAGTTCAGGTAGAGATTATAATAGCACAAAAAATAGTAGTAATAACAACAATAATAATAACAATAAAGAATTGGAGGTGAGGGTCAACGATGATACATCAGATTATAAAATCATAATCAAAGATAAAGAAATCAATGTTCATAGAAAGATGTTATCGAAAATAGAGTATTTTAGAGTATTATTCAATTCAATCTTCAAAGAAAATAAAGAAAACTTTTCAAAGTTTGACGATGAGGATTATGAAACCTTCAAATCCCTTTTGGAGATTCTATACCTCCACAACGAAGAAAAGGTCGAATTTTTAAAGACACTAGAGCCAATTCAATTAAGAAATATTTTGTTTTTATCAAATCGTTTGCTCTATCAAAAACTAGAATTTATGATAGAAAATTATATCTTATGGAATGTAAACACAGAAAACGCCATGGATGTATATAATGGTTTTGCAGGAAATGAACCAATTCAATTGTTCACAGAAAATTTTTTAAAAATTACTAAAAAACAATAAAGTATCAATAAACATAATTTAATTTTGTTTTTTTATAAATAAATTAATATTAAAAATATAAAGGCAATGTTTTGTAAAAAATAAATAGGTTTTTTTATAAATTTTTATTAAAATATATCCCTAATTTTTAAGGATTTTTTGATAATACATAAATGGAGTTTATTCCCTTTAGGTTTGATACGGGTTCTGTGTGGCAAACTGTAAAACCAGTTTTGTTGAAAAAGTTGATTTGTTTTTCAGAAAATGATATTGTTTTAACTTTTTTACCTTGATGTTCTGCCCATTCTATTACCGGTTTAAGTAAATAGTCTCCAACACCTTGGCTTCTATAATCTCTAGATACACCTACATATGGTAAATAGTAGATATCATTGGCTGGTTCATTGACCTGGGTCTCGCTATTTCGCATTGCGCTTTCCATACCTGACATTAGTTTTCCAATTCTTCTCATTACTCTAAATCCAAACTTGGGTAATAATGAAATAACTCGTATTACTATTTGAACCATAGAAGGACTGTTTTTACCAGGTGCTTGCCAACATGCTACACCTATTAATTGATTTTCTTGGTTAAAACATCCCCAAAGCATAAATTTGTTTTGGTACATTAATCGAATACATTTGTTAAAGAAATCTTTTCTTAAAGCATGTCCTAATTCTGTGGATTTGTTAACTATATCTGGTTTATTACTGGTAGCTCCACATACAAATAAAAATCTTGGGTCGTTACTAAATGATTCTGCTAAAATTTCACCAGCTCTGTTTAGTTCACTTTTATCTAGTTGTCTTCTTGTTATCCCTTGTCTTTGTTGATTCATTTCGCTTGCCGAAGAAACATCATTTGAAATTAATAAATCTTGCATAATACTTTTGTTTCTTTGTAAAGGGGTTTCTCTTTTATTATTGTTTTGAGCCGTATTGGTTCCATTACTCATACCCACTACTGAGCATGGATCTTTTAATTTATCGAATACTTTGTTGAATACAATCGAGTCTATTGTTGGTCTAATATTTGGATCAACACTGAGCATTTCTAAAATCAAATCTGCAAGTTGTTCATCCTCTTCATCGAAATCTTCTTTAAAAACTTTTCTGTCAAATCTTTTTTCTATTAATTCTTCTGCTATACATCTCTTTGTAACTGGTAATAGGTGTAATGTGCACATTTCATAGAAAATACAACCTAATGAAAAAATATCGGCAGGTCTAGAATATGAAATATTTTGAATGACCTCTGGGGATGAATAATAGTAAGTTCCAGCAACACCTCTAATATGATTTTCATATTTTGTAGCTAACCCAAAGTCCCCAATTTTAATGATTTGAGATTCTGTTAAAAATATATTTTCGCTCTTTAAATCTCTATGAACTAAATGGGCTTTATGTATTGATTGAACACCTAAGCATATTTGAAAAATCCAACTGTATAACAATCGCTTTGGTATTCTGGGTATTTTTAATGAAATAGAAGAGTTTGATGATTGGATTTGACATACATTATCTGATTGCTGGGTATTAAATAGAGTTTGTAGGTTGACTTGTTGGGGTGGTGTTGAAGTTCTTTTACTCTTTAAAGTAAATGCTTTTTCAAATAAGTTGAATGTGCTTTGAGATCTTTCTTTTTTAAAAGTTTTCCACCATGTTTTCTTTTTATCTGTGTTTGATTGGGGGGTGTTCTTTGACGATGATTCGGTTGATATATTTTGTTCTGGGTTATAGTTATATTGAAGAACTGAAAAGCTATCATTACGGAAAAACATACTATCATTTGATTTTATAACTTTATTTTGTGGGGATGTTGGGCCAGATGAACATGGGGATGGAATATTGTTTTTTTGTATTGGTGAAGTTATTTTTGAGTCTGATTTGATAGGTGATATTTCAAAAGACGATGATGTTCTTAAGTTTACACAATTTACACCTGGTTTTGAAATAGGAGATGGGGAATTATATAAAAGTTCATGTTGTAGTTGAGGTGTGCTGTTTGAAATTGGTTTTGATGAAAATGATAATGTTCTGCTTCTTGTTCCTGATGAAAAAGATTGGGCCTGTAAACATGAGTCATCTGAAGAAAAGTCCATTGATGATCTATTTGACTCCATTAAAAGAAGGCTGTTATTTTTGTTTGAGATATCATTTAAACTGTGTGGTGTAATAACATTTTCAGTTGCGCTAATATAGTTTGGTAAATATCTTGAAAAAAAATCTTCATACATTTTAAGTACATTTAAGGTGCTCATATTTAAACCATTCGATGACGATAGTGAATTTGTTTTGCTGTTGTTGTTCTCATTATTGCTTTTGAATAATTCTGAAACACGACAAATCATATTGTTCATTAAGTCACCTCCTTCGCAATATTCCATTACTATACATAGGCTAAATAAACTATTATTTTGATTAATAAAAACTTCTTCAAATTTTACAATATTGGGACTGTTACTACTAATTTTTGCTAATTGCATTGCCTTTTAAAATTTTTTATATTATTAATATTTTTTTAAATTTATAAAATTATATATAAATCCTACTTACTTCATTTAAACCTTCACTAGCTTCATCCAATAGTAAGAAATCCCTTTGCTTCATTACATACTGTTTACCACTATCTATTTTCTTTACAACATGTGCTTTTCCCTCACCGCCGGACCCAATTAATTTGATTTTTTCATATTTATACATTTTATTGGTCTATAAAAAAAGAAATTGTTATTAATTTTAAATTAATTGTATAAAAAAAAAAAAAAATTAGGGTAAAAATAAAAATAAATTTGTTGAAAATGTAAAATTAAATTTATAAATAACTATTATAGATATATTATAAACAAAGCAATCGATTGTTATTTAATTCTGTTTTGTTTTCAGGATATATGAATAAAATAATAGATTATAGTAATTTATAGTTTCTTAATTTAATTAAATAATTTAAGAAATAAACTATATATTTTTTTTATATTTATTTATTTAATTGTTTGATAATTATTTCTTTTTTTGTGTGTAAAATTGAATTTGTGTGAAAGTGTGGTGGTGTGTGTTGATTGATAGGGTAATTAATATTAATAATAGTAAATTTAAATTATTGATAATTTTTAATATTATTAATTTAGTTTAATGTAGTTATATATAATTATGTTGAGATAAACAATGAGTTTTATATCTTTTATATATACATATATATATATATAATAAAATATAATTGTAATGATAATATAAAAAGAATTATTGTATTTGTATTTAATTTATAATGAAATATATATTCAAAAAAAAGTGGAAACACTTTTTTAAAAAAAGTTATTTTTTTTGTTTATTTTTTTTTATCTATTTATAATGATTTAATTAAAAATATGGTGATTGGTGAAAAAAAAAAATTTTTTAAAAAAAGTGGGTGATGAATGATACATACATTTTATTGATATTTTCGATTTGAATGTTTTTATTAAAAAAAAAGATTAATTAATTTTTTTTTAGAAAAGTAAATAATTGAATTTACGATTGAAAAAAGTTTTTAGGGGTTATATAATATTATATAATATTTTATAATAATGGTGTTTAATTGAAAATGGTTTTTTTAAGGTATGCAGATAATTATTATAAATATAGTTTTAATTAATTGTCTTTGGAAATATTAGAAATACAAAAAAATTACAAGTAAGAAAAAAAAAAAAAAAAAGATATAAATAAATAAAATTGAGATATTCTGTTTAAAATGATTTTTATATTATAAAATTACACAATCGTAAAAGGTTTAAATTACATCATATTGTTTTCTTTTTTATTAATATTATTATTATGAGTTATGATATTTTATATTTTTTTTTATTATATTATGTTGATTATTTTTTTTTACGCACAAAATAAATATATATTATCAAAATAATAGTTATTAATATCTGTTGTTATTAATAATATATGGTATTAAAGTATTAATATTATTATATTTTAATTAATTTGGGTAATTGATTGTATTTAATTTTATTATTTTGATGATGGTACAAAGTGAAACAAAATGTTTTTATTAATATTATTATTTAATTTTGAAAATAATCTATAAATATAAATAAATGAATAAATAAATAAATAAAATTTAATTGTAGAGTTAAATGTTATTGGGAATTTAAAATGATAATAATAATAATAATAATAATAAATTAATGTTTTTTTTTTTTAATAAAAATTTTATAAAAAAAATTTAAAATATATTATTTATTTTATTTTTCTCACCTATATTTTATTTATTGTGGTTGTATTAAGGCAGTATAGTTGTTATTGTTGTTGTCAAGGTGCAATAAAGAATTATTATTTTTTGAATCATCACATATTTGATAATAATAATTTATTTATAAATTGAAATATTATAATATTAAATTATTGAAAAAAAAAAAAATTAAAAACAAACAGCCACACCCCCACACCACCCTCTCTAAATTTATATAATTGAATATATATAAAAATATATTTAAATGAAAAAAAATAATATATTATATAAAAAAAACAACAAAAAACACACATACACACGGTTTCTTTTTATTTTTTCTTTG